GTGAAGATGTGCCTGGAGGACCTGACGGTACTACGCGCAAGTTCCCCTACCTTATTCCAAAATTTGGAATGTAATTAGACAGGCTATCTTTTGAATACAAATCTGAAACGATATTACTGAGCTGACTTGCTTGTCTAGACATGAAGACTATCAGAACCTTTCGGGCACAAGATGACTGAACGCCATGAAGGTTTCGGAGCAGTGAAAATACGGCTCAACGCATTGCTGACCTCGGCACTAGATGGAAGTGACCTATCAGCAACATGCCCCGGACTTTTTACCGTACCCGGTACCCATAAGATGGGAGTCTGGGTGGGACCAAGACCCTGTCGGGGCACTAACGAAGAGAAAATTCCCTGGTCCTACCGGAAATCAAACCCCGGTAGCTTGTTCTTGTACACTTCAATACATTTGTGTCGTACAGCAAATTTTTCAGACAAACATCCCATTTTGTAATGACATTTTTTAAATTAAATTTGAGCTTTAGGTATGCAAAATAGGGATGGTATTGTGGGAATATGAAGCAAAATTAAACGTTTGGGACACACCATGTTTCGTCGAAATTGGTTCAGTAGTTTCGCCTATGAAACATGCTGTTTCCTTTGCATCTCGTTTCTGTAAGATCAGTGCGCACATATGCTGAAGGAAATGCATTCGGTTCTTATGCAAAATTTGAGTCAACACCACACTTGCGCTTTCAGCGCTATGGTTGCTGGAAATGTTAGGCTTCCTCCGCAAACACGCAGCCGGTATGTGGCAACAGTTGACGTCCCAGTGGTCTCTGATATTCGTGGTGATGATTCATCGGCTTGCGATATGTATCATCGCGTTTCAATGTCCGGATCAGTGATAAATCCGCAGGTCATAGCTGCGACGCTGGCGTCACTGTGTTTACGAAGTGCCAAACGATTTTCCCTGCAGTTCGTGCCCTGTCTGTAACGGAGACCGCTCTTCATAGGTTTCCCGCGAATAACCATGAGCAACATGTTCATCACCGTTTTAACAACTGATAACATTTGCGTGCCGTTTTCCGCAGGAAAAGTCATGTAAGTGTGGATGTGTATGTTTGTTACAGGCCGTATTGTAACCTGAGGAGGTTAGAAACTGGCTCCTTGAAGCCCCAAGTTCAGACCCGGCTGGCGTATGAAATTCATGGTGTAGTTTGTTGGTATGGCTTAGCCAGTTAGGTGCTGGCTTCTCACAGCAGCGGCCTGAGTCCAGTCTTAGGTGACGGGTTAAATTCATGGTGGACGAAGTTGTATTGGAACAGGTTCCCCTTGTGGGAACTGCCCACATTCAAGCAAATGTTGCAGTCACAACGCAAGTGTCATTGCTTAGCAACGGCGAGTGAACAGCTGTTTACTCGCGTTGCCTTGCAACGGCAGTTTACTCGCTTTGCCTAGCAACAGCTGTTTACTCGCAGTTGCTAAGCAACGATACTTGCGTTGTCACTGCAACATTTGCCATTATTCCATACTCCCGTGCCTTGAGGTGTGCGATAGCCCTGCCAGGCAGCACATTATCATATTCCCGGGCTGTAAGTCGGGACTTCGTCTCTAACTCGGCACTCGGTTGGTCGCAGAGTAAGAAGAACGTTAGGCTGCGACATAGCTCAAGCGGTTACTCGCTGGCTTCCCACCGCGGCGGCCCGGGATCGATCCCGGGTCTGGTCAAGTGGGATTTGTGGTGGAGAAAGTGGCGCTGTGGCAGGTTTTCTCCGAATACTTCGGTTTCCCCTGCCAATCTTCATTTCACCAATTGCTCCACAATCACCCTCACCTATCATCTTGGGGCAGGTACAATGGGCCAGAAGTGGCCGCAGTACAGGGGACTTAGTCCCACCCCACTAGCAATAAAAAGGACGTTAAATTTTAATTTCGGATTTAAGGTTCTCACAGCGGTGGTTATGAAGAGTTCTGTTTTCTGGGATATAGCGCTGTGTAGTCTGTAGAAAGTCAGCCGAGGTTTCGGAGGAACATTTCGTCTCCATCTTCAGGGTCGATGAGTAAGCTGAGTAAGAAATCAGCGTGAAAACAGGTGGCGATCAGAGCCTGCCGTCACTCTTGTTCTTCGACTCTTAAGATGGAGGCGATACGTTCCTCCGAAACGTCGGTTGGCTTTCAACGGACTAATCGGCGTTATATGACAGAAGATAGAACTGTTCAAGTTTCAATTTGTTCGTTATTGCAGTTAATGTGAGTAATGCACTTGTGACAAGTACCGAGGAATCACGCGATGGAGGAAAAATGGGGGGGGGGTGAGAGGGAGTGAGAACCTCTGAAGTGAAGCGATTATAGAATTGACAGACACCTAGGTCACTTCTTATGACATTCTCTTCCTACACTGTGTACCTGTGGTAACTGCATAACATACCACTTAGGCCCTTCAGGAGAAGTTCACAGCCGATGCACCATTTCGTGCTGTGATCACTCGGTAAGCAGTTCTGCTGCAGCAGCTTCTTCATAACTGCTGAACACAACTGAACCCAATCAGGTGCAAATGAGGGACAGTTCATATTGTCTATATCTGTTTTATGTGCATAGGGTCTAGGCTGATTGTTCTCTCAAAACCCGAAATTTATAAATAGGCCTGTCTCAAAAACGCTTGTTTTGAAGACGCCATAGTGTTCCTCCGTCCTTCGGGAAAGTCACTGGACCTAGTCACCCAACTTCTTTCCAAATCCAGCTCCATTTATCAGTCACTATCGCCCTAAAGCATTTAACCACTGAGGCGAAACCTTCTTGTAATTTGATAGTCGCTCAGCTTCAGAGAATACCCTACCCCTTATGAACCCTTAAGATTCACTGCCTTGTACTTAACAACTTGCCAGAGGACCTTATCGAGAGCAATGGGAACACAAGCCACACTCTCACACACGATAGCATGGTTAGTTGGAGCACTATGCTGCAAGCCGCAAGGTCACGGCTTCGAGCCCCAATGAGGTGGATTTTTTTAATTTACCTAATCCTTCCAGCCGCACTATGGCCCTGGGGTCGGCTCAGCATCTAACAGAAATGAGTACCAGGAATTTTCCTGGGGGTAAAAAGCGAGTAAGGCTGACAACCTTACCGCCATCTGTGAGTCGACTGTCTAGAAGTTGTGGGAACCTCGTTCTCTCACACCCCTAAGGGCCTTCACGGCCTGTTACAGGGATGGTTTTGCCTTTTCTTAACTTTTACATCTTAATATTATTTTCCCATCTAAGCCTAGGTCTCCAAATTAGTATCTTGCCTTCAGGTTTCTAGTCTGAGAATGGATATGAATTTCTCATCGTCCCCATGCGTGTTACATGGCCGGTTTATCCCGCCCTCATGTATTGTATTGCCGTTATATGCAGCCTCTTATCCAGTGGACACCGGAGATGTATCCTCGGGGGTGCAGCGCCAGGGACGTGAAGCTAACCACTCAGCTCCATCTGGTGCAAACGTTAAGAATGGTAAAGCTAAATCCACCCTCACCCACATGCCTTCATGACATAATGCTGAATTATACGTATAGGGATAACTTCATCTTCACCTTCACCGTACCAGATAACATTTGATAAAGATTATGAATTATGCAGCTCCTCTTTAAGCACATGTTCGCATGCCAGCCACTCCTTTGTTACTTCCTCTCTCTTAAGTTACGGTAGATAAAGTTAACTTCCGTGGGGTGGGGTGAGACTTAGTCCACTTGGTACGTCGGCCACAAATTGGCTTTTGCTGCAAACCCCGGATGACAGATTGCGTGTGGAACACTTAGAATGAGAACTCGCAGAGGAAAGCGAAGTGCCCAGAGGAAACCTGCTCCAATGTCACTTTGTCCACCATACATCTTGAAAGGGGATCGAAACCCGGGCCGTCGCGGTGGGAAGCCAGCAATTAACCGCCTGAGCTATGACACGGCCCCCTCGCTTTTAAGTATTACGGTTAAGTAACATAGCGCGTATAGCACTAAATCAATCGTTACAGAGGGTCGTAGGTCGTTTGTGGCCGGCAGGTACATTTGTGAACCCCTGCATACATTCCATTGAGAGCAGAGGAATCATTAGAACGCTGATGGTTTCTGTATGTACTCTCATTCACACGTACCGACTGAACCACGGAGGAGGGGCAGCATGTAAGCGAGATGTCGACATCCATATGTGCGATCGAGTTCTTTGCCCTTGAAAAGATGCGGTTGCGCAAATGTGTGTTTGTTCTAAATAATACGCCTCGTGGTCCACTGAAGAACGTTCATAATTTTGCAAAAAAAAAATATATAGTAACAGTCGTGCGTTCCCAGTAGAGCCTTCGGATGTCTGAGGCAAGAATATTGCTAAGTCACGACAATGACCCTGAGCAACGGATGGTAAAGGGTCTATACCTTTCTCACTACTAGTACTGTAATGCTAAGCCAATAAACCAGCAGAGTTAATATTTTAATAACAATATAATGTGGAGTGAAAAGAGACGGCCGTTGCTAGGTAACGGCTCGATAAACACGTGTCCGCGACAACGGATATGCACGCAGTAGTAAAGGAACTGTTGGAAGCGGTGTTTTCTATGCTGTCCGCCGGATGTCTCCGTCGAAAAGGAGGCCACATTTTGAAACACGTACATGTCTAGGAGAGAATAAAAATCCTGGTCACGGATCTCGAGGAGACTGAAGCCACGGATGACTGTGCTGGCGAAGCCCAGCAGCAATGTAACCCACCGGCAGAAAGCAAAATGGGGCTGAGTCAGAAGATGACAAAATAGTGGCCATCACAAAAATTGTATTAAAACTCATGAAGCAAAATGGCCTCTAGAATTCATAGGTCCCTCAAAAAGAACAGACCCATCTTCTTGTCGGAGAGGACGCCCCACATCTACAAAACCGCAGCTGACTAACAAAAACCTGGTCTTGGGCCCCAGAACGGGCTTGACAGCAAGATCGACTGGTCGACTGGCCGTCGTTGTAATGTGACGTTCAGATGATTTTGACTTGAAGTTAGTCAGTCATGACTAGGAAGTTATGTGAACTAGTTAGTCGTGAGATGGTAGCCAGCCGGCAAGGACGGAAGCCCGAGAGCGGAAGAATCCTCCACTGTTGGGAACGGTTACGTAGCGATGCCTAGTGAATACCGTCACCGAGCGAAGACATAACAGTGAGACTTAGCACGTGCTGTATGGATCTGTTGAGTGTGTGGACTACTGGTACGTAGTGTTATGACTGTTAGTACTTAGAGTTGTGAGTTCACTAAATCCAATTATCAATCCATACCCCAGTTATAGTCACTAACACGTGACAGTTTTGTACTGATGAACTGCATAGAGTCTACACCCTTCTTACCAAATGGGTGTTGCGCAGCTCTAGCCCTGTTTTTGGAGATGTCGACTTCAAATACCGGCTAGGACATCAGATATCTTTATAGCGACGGGCTGCCGGCTTGATGGCTGGGTTCGATTCCCGGCAGAAGGAAGATATTTTCTATATTCCAGGACATCTACGTCGTCTCTGGGGCCTACTGAGCCTCAATCAATTGGGTACCGGGGGCTCATTCCCCGGGAGTAAAGCAGCCGAGGCGTGAAGCTGACCACTCACCTCCATCTAGTGCCAAGTGCAAGGTTATTAGAGCTGTATCTCCACTGCCCATACGCCTCCGTGGCGTGGGGACGACTTCACGTATTTAATATCTAATTTGTGTTGATAGGTCCCTGCTATTCCGACATGAGCTTACTTACTCATGGAGCTAGCCCTACTTCGGAAGCCGCCAATTGTGCAGCTACTCAAGAATTTCGCACCATTTTATGGAACCCGAAGGTTCATTACCGTGTTCACAAGAGCCCTCCACTGGTCCCTATCCCGAGCCAGATCATTCCAATCCATACCATCCCATCCTATCTCTCTAAGATCCATTTTAATATTGTCCACCCACCTACGCCTTGGTCTTCCCAGTGATCTCTTTCCTTCTGGCTTTCCCACCAATATCATAATGCATTCCTCTTCTCCCCCATTCATGCTACATGCCCTGCCCACCTCATCCTCCTTGACTATTCCGAAATGTAGATCTGTAATATTAAAACTTCTCAACGTTCGTATCATAAGTAATTAGATTTTGGATATCACAAGTGTAACTTCTGTTCGGAAGGAACATCCCCATTTGTCTCTTCTTTTTCAGGTATTTCTGGCGTTGTGAGTCAAATTCTATAGGTGGAACTCAATCCGTAAGAATCGAAGCGAGCGACGTCTGAACACAGTACAAAGGTAAAGTTTCTTTCTGTGCATGAGCCTTATATCATGAATGCCATCTTACCAGTCAATTACTCCACAGTTCAGTTGCTTAAAATAGGTCCGGTTTTGTATTTCGAAGTCGGCCTTGCTAATTTTACAGAGACCATATATGTAACGGCCATTGCCAAATGACAGTTTCAACACTTGCAATGAAACAGATTATGACTGTTAAGAGTTAGTCTAAAATTGCGTCATCTGTGCATTATATCTACTGCTACCCCCGTGGTTCAGTTTACGTAATTCTTCATGTGAAGTTACAACTTTGTTAGATATACGTAAAATGCACGCAACAGGCGAGTCCATGCAGCGACTATTGCTAGGCAATGCGTAGGTAGAAACACCTGACAACAATACCTGATATTTGTTGCCGAGCAGCAAGGTGTTCTCTATGTTGTCCGTGCCGAGCCAAAATAAGGAGCAGCGAACACTATTCAGGGGTAATGAGTATTGAGCCAGTTACCAGTATGCAGTATGACTTGAAGTCCAGCAGCTACGAGTTGAGTTGTATCGAGTGAATGGCAGTGACTCCAGCAGGAGAAGTAATTGTCATACTGCAGATGGCAGTAACTGTGAAACTGTGAATTCTGTAACTATAAGAGCGAGGGGAATAAATTCGCTTGATCCAAGACGGCGTGAAGTTATTTGTCGCGTCGCATACCCAACACGTGACAGTATATTATAAATAAATTAATTTCTTTTTGTCTTCATATGAATTCGGTGGTAATTTATTATTGGTTACAATCGATACAAATTATAAATAGTGTATACTGTTTTAGATGAAAGCGTAGAACTTTGGAACATTGACCGAAGGGCCTGCATTTGCACTCGACCGAGACTTAACCTTATTTGGCCCTTTCACGTTCCTTTCATTTCTTTGCAAAATCATATCGAGTAACAACACCGTGACGAATGGATTCATTTATGGTTTCTGAAAGGAAATGTGACAAACTGGTATTGACAGCGTGTTTCTTCCAGCTACTTTGAAACCTAGTAAGCATTTGAACTAGTTTCTGTTTGAAAGTAATTTACAGCGATGTATATATTTCACCACTCCTTGACTATGAATGTTGTACGCCTACGTGTACACAGAGATTTCCGAATGTGTTTTTATATGTGGTTCATTTGCGGGGCACGCGGTAGCATAGTTGGTTGAGGCACTATGCTACAGGCCGGAAGGTCGCGGGTTCGATTCCCGACGAGGTCATTGGGTTTTTCAAGTGACCTAATTCTTCCAGCTGCACTATGGCCCTGGGGTCGCCTCAGCGTCTACAAGAATTGAGTACCAGGAATCACCCTGTGGGGGGGATAAAGGGCGGCCGACGGCCGCGTATGGCTGACGGCCTCACCTCCATCTGTGAGCCGATTATGTAGAAAAGACACGATATTAGGCCATGTATTTTATGAAAATGTGGGAAATTATTGGTCAGCTTGTTAATAATGACTGTTCCCTGGATCTACTAGCTGAATTAGTATTAGCTGCAATCAGCTCGTGCAGTGCACTGTCGGCGCACTGTGTTACCATAATCTCACGTAGAATAATTAGGACTTTGTGTATATACTGTTTTTTCATTCCGGTACACGCCCTCGTGTGAACCGCGTCTGTCAGCTGGCGGGTCGCTATTTTTAGCCAGCTACAAACAGAGCGCTCTCGTTATCTCTACACTTGAGAGGTACCTAAGGCAGGGTGGGTTGGTATGTCCGGCGCGGTTCACAACCGAGCGGCAGCCTGTGTTGCGGCCGGCGGTGACATTATCGAAAATCAGCTTTAAGCACCAATAAATTCAAATTAAAGGTAATTTCACGAAGTTAACTTTACATTCATACTTTAAATGTATCATGTATTATGCTGGTTTATTATTTTGTTCCGTTTATTGTCTGTAATCGTTACCTTCTATTCTGAGTTTAAAACGGTCATAACTCCTTAACCGTCCAAAATCGGACACATGTTTATGAACTTTTTTGATCACAAAGACCTAGGAAATCACCTCCTGCAGTTATGCCCTAAAGTCGTGAAATATCCTGTATATATATGTGTATGTATGTATAAATATTCGGAAGTTGGTTCAGCCTGTGTATTTAGGGAGGGCAGAGGGGTGCACTGAATATGGAGCAGTTGGTGGAATGAACCACACCAGAGCCAGTTTGACAGACACAAATATCACTTGGACCGAACCAAGAAGCATGGCCGCTTTCTGAGCCTAGACCGAGCTAGAGGTATCTTCTGCTGTCAGAACGTCAGTTGTAAGTAAGGGTATGGGAATTTCTTGGAATTCAGTTTGTGTGCCAAGTTTCTGGGGGTGCGGAGGGAAGTTTGACTTGTTATTTAGGTAGCCTGTTGGAGCGAACAAGTTTGCTATTGCAAAGCGAGATAGTGGCATGGACACCGTAGGCTGGGGTGACATTGCGTAGGGGCTGCAGATTGCGTCACGATACGGGGGTCACGTGTTATAAGCAGCTCAAGGTTCGCAAGAACAGATTGCCTCACTGCGTGCGAACAAAGTTGCGAAACATCCATCCATCTGCTGGCAGGGATGACCACAGATCTATATTTCCATTCTGATATTTTCCGCCGGTTTGGAACGAGTAATACATATTGAAGAGTTGGCGTGTACAACATCTTATCGGAAGACTCGATGAAAAAGGACTAATTTGGAAAAGTAGGCATAGTTACAAACGATGAAAGTACAGTTGTGTAGATGGATTCAGTTCCCCCCCCCC